GGGGGATTTGATAGCAGCCTTCAACTACCTGAAGCGAGGTTCCAAAGAGGATGGAGCTCGGCTGTTCTCAGTGGTGGCAGATGACAGAACAAGGAGCAATGGTCTCAAGTTGCAGTGGGGGAGGTCCAGGTTGTATATTAGGAAACACTATTTCACTATGAGGGTGGTAAAGCACTGGAATGTGTTACCTAGGGAGGTGGTGGAGTCTCCTTCCTTGGAGGTTTTTAAGGCCCGGCTTGACAAAGCCCTGGCTGGGATGATTTAGTTGGGAATTGGTCCTGCTTTGAGCAGGGGGTTGGACTAGATGACCTCTTGAGGTCCCTTCCAACTCTGATATTCTATGATTCTATGATTCTATAATAAATTACAATAAACAAGTTTTCTTTTAAAAATGACCTTTCTCAGAGGAATATTTTGTGGGTTTTTTTTGTTTTACTAGGTTTTTTTTTTTTCAAAAAATTGTCAGTACTATCATCATTTTCTGTCTTTTGTGAAATATTTTGATTTTTTTTCAAATCAAATACATTATTAAAAATATCTTTTTTCATTTATCAAGTTTTTCATTTTAGTAAACAAAAAGTGTTAATCAGAATTTAAAATAAATAAATCCCCAAACAAATGAATAAGTCCTTTTCAAGCATTTGAAATTAAAGCCTTTGTGACATTTTAAAAATATTTTGCAAAGCTAGATTTCCAGGTTACGTGCATGAAACTTTGCAGGGTCACAACCTTAATAATTATTTGTAAAGATTTACAATTATGGAGAAAAATTAAGTTACAAATACATATACTTAGATAAAATGACTTGTGTATTTGCTATTTTTTTTGGTTAATAGAAACAAATCTATTTAGAGATACTGAAGTCTTACCACAAAGGTGAAAAGGTTTAATTTTCCCCTTTTATAGATTCCATGTCTTTATTACATTAGGCTGTCAACATTAAGGTAAAGTCTGAGTGATTATTTCTGTTCAAATTGTTGTTTTCTTTATATGACATTTATCTCATGTCATTTCTCAGTATTGAAGTTAAGACTGAGAACTCATTTCTGTATAAACTGCTTTCTTTTAATTGTGTGTTGCTTTTTGCATGTGGTGTGAAAATCATCAATCTTAGCCTTACACCACATTAATAAAAATAAATAAAACTAAAGAAACACACAAGTATGCACACAACCAATCCAAAATTCCCACCCTAATCAAGCTATAGCTGTGGAAAGAGGAGAAATGACACTTACCAAGTGCTGCAGTAAGTTTCCCTTTAAAAAGTACAGAAATAAATATTAATGATTATTCAGAACTTCTCTCTGCATTGGTACACGGTTAAAGGACTTAATCTGATATGTATGAAAATCACTAGGCATGTGTGCGGCTCTGTCTGAGTTATGGAATGCTGGGTAGAGAGATTTTACAGTCAGTAAGTTTTGACATTGATGACTCAAAAAGAACTTTGTTTTGAAGCTTTAAAATTGCTGTAAATTTGTTTCCTCTCTGCAGATTATGAGCATTTATTTACTGAGCTTCCACAGAGGCACTTCTATCGAGCTTAGCCCCCGAGGGTATATTTACACTGCAATAAAAGGCCAGAGATTGGCCTGGATCAGCAGACTCAGGCCCATGGGGCTTGGGCTGCCTGGCTATAAAATTGCAGTGCAGACACGTTTGAGCTGCTGCAGTTGTTTGATTTTGTTTTTGCTTGTAGACGTGCCCATAGTGTCAGAGTGCACTGTATCTTAGGTGTCACTTGCTCCTTCTTTTACAAGTTACATGTCTTTGGGGGGGAGGGATAGCTCAGTGGTTTGAGCATTGGCCTGCTAAACCCAGGGTTGTGAGCTCATCCCTTGAGAGGACCACTTAGGGATCTGGGGCAAAATCAGTACTTGGTCCTGCTGGTGAAGGCAGGGGGCTGGAATTGATGACCTTTCAAGGTCCCTTCCAGTTCTAGGAGATATCCTATCTCCATTAATTCTATTCTAATTCTTGGTTTTAGAATTATTGATGTAAAGGCTCAGAGATTATTTCTATTCAACCGGGATACAAATACAATACAAAACTCATTTTTGTTGAGTAAAACACTTCAGGTTACATTTTGGTTTGAAATTCCTCAGGTTCAGTCTTGCCCCCATTTCCTTTAAAAAGTTAAATTAAAAATGAACCAACTACACAAAAATTAAAGAGAAGCCCCCACAAAAGATCCAACGTTGCACAAAAGTTTTCTCCTCAGAGGGAGGTGAATGAGACTTACCAATTTCTGCATCACATTTCCCATAAAAGAAAAAGAAATAAATATCAGTTTTTGTGGTGTGTTACCCTCATCTTGTTTTATTTCCCTTTATCATTAATATGATAGTTAAGGCTGAAAGACTATTTCAGACTACAGGATCTGGTGGTGTTTTCTGGTCTTAAACTCTAGTCTGTGACTCGATTTCTTATCAATTTTTCAAGTTGGTGTGAAATGTATCCAATTTAGTCTTTCCCCACATTCTATAAAGTTACATTAAAAAACAAACATGCACACGCCCCCCAAAAAATCAAGCAAACAAACAAAAACAGGTTTCATGTTGCAATAAAATTTTAAAAGTTAAATTTAAAAGCAAATAACTCCATACCAATTAAAGAAACTACCATCTGAGGATCCAATTTTGTACAAAAGTTTTCTTGTCAAAGGGGGATAATGACACTTACCAATTTCTACATTTCGTTTCCCTAAACAATAAACAGAAATAAATATATAAGTTTATTATGAGCTTCCCTTCCCTTACATGTTATTTCACTGTATCATCAATATGAAAGTTAAGGCTTTCTATTCAACTTCCTCTTTTGTCTTACTTATCTTCCCCGTCACTCCTCCAATAACATTTTGGCATGAAGTTTATCTAATTTAAACTGTCCCCAGGTTTTTTAAACCTAGACTAACATGCCTATACACACACACAAGAATACACATAAAATAAATCAAACAAAAGAAACAAACAGGTCAATATACAACTGTGTAAGTGTATACAAAAACTGTATTTGTGCAAAAAGGGAAACTGAAACTTACCAACTTCTTCAGTAAGTTTCCCTTAAAAATACAGAAATAAATATAAATTATTATTATGTCCTTTTGTCATCAAACAGCGTTGGACTATGTATAGAATTCACTGGGATCATAGAGGGATCTGTCTGATTTATGTTGAAGTTGGCCAAAGACATTCTTTATGCATGAAATTGACCAGGGTTATGGACAGGTGTGTCTGAGTTACATGAAAGTGGCTATGATTTTCTCCCTAACCAAGGAACAAATGTGTTAACAGACTTACCACTGGGGCATCTCTATGGGGCCCATCACTATAATCTCAATGCACTGCACTTTATTAGCAAAAGAGATATTTTAAGTACAGATATGATAGCCTAGGCACTCCACTTGTCTCAAGTGGAATCAGAGATGGACACCAGTACCCCCTGAGCATTGGAACAGGGGGAGATGGAGGACCAAGCAGAATGCAGCTGTATCTGCTATAATCTCAAGTATCAGGGGGGTAGCCGTGTTAGTCTGTATCCACAAAAACAATGAGGAGCCCGGCGGCACCTTAAAGCCTAACGGCTTTATTTGGGCATAAACTTTCATGGGTAAAAGAACCACTTCTTCAGATGCATGTTGCTATGATCTAATTTTCTGGCTCAGTTCTATTCCTTGATACTCTCCTCCCACCAGTTCTCCTCCCCACCCACCCTCTATCAATGAATTCACATGCATTCTTCTCCTTTATTTAGGACAAGATCAGCAGGTCACATGTCTTTATAATGTTAAATTCCTAAATTGCCCTTATTCACTTATTAGGATAAAAACTATATTTACAATATATGTCTCCCTCTAATATTTACCTTTCATTTTAAAGAGGCAAACAGTGAAGCCAGTGAAACCAAACAAAACCCCCAGGATCACACTCAGAGTCACCATCCAGGGATTCACCCTTGGGAAAAATGGATCTGGAAAGCAAAACACCAGGACTTGCCTTAGTATGGAAGCGGTCACTAGAATCAGATGTTTTTATTCCATATAAATCCATACATAGTCCCCAGAGGGATTTCTGTCAAACAAGAGTGAAAACATGGGCCTGTCTACAGGGGTGCTGGAACAATTTGCATAGTGGGGGTGCTGAGAACCTTGAAACAAACTGTAAACCTTGGATTTGATGGAAACCGCTTCAAGGCAGGGGATGCAGCAGCACCACCCGCACCCCTGGTTCCAGAACCTGTGTCTGTCTACACTACGCAAAAGACCAGAAACAGATTTTAAAAATGGCTCCACCCACCACAGCTTCAATACGGATTTATCCTTGAATAAACAGGCCTGATTGGATTCACTGCTATTCAGAAGGTCAGAGAGTTCAAGTGCAAGTTCTCTGCTCATAAAACCCCACTGACTTCAATAGAGTTAAGTCAGCAAAGAATTTGGCTCTCAGTGTTTGGCAACATTCAGAAATGGCCAGATTAATTACAATATTTTTGAAAAAATCACTATTACCCCCAAAATATTTGGAGGGATCATAATTACAATTCCTGCAAACATTTGTGCAGCAAATTAATTAATCTTCTTTTGCTGTGCCTGTGTTCACAGGGATTGAATCATCTAACTAGGGTGAAATTTTCAAATGTGCTGAAGACCTTCTCTGCACATGGCTTGTGCACTGATTTAGTGAAACTTGTGCAACTCTTTCAGGTGGCCATTCTTAAATTGGTTCAATAGTTGACTTCAAAAGAGGGTTGCACCAATTTAACTACATTTATGCATAAAACCTTAAATTGTAAATTAGCTTAATAGTATCCTACCTCCATTTAGCTTAAGTCAGTAAGGAATTGACAAGCTAAATCAATATAGGACACTTGGAAACTTATATAAAAGTGTTCAGAAAAGCTGGTTGCGTTAATTAATTAAATAGCTAATCAGTGAAACTTTTTGTGCGAGGGCAAGGTCAAAGTGAGTCTCTTTGTGGATCCGGACCAAAATGACTGAAGAAGCACAAGTCTAACTGAACATGAAAAGAAACAACAACAGGAGTTAGGTGACATTTCATACAACAAATAATAAACAATGCGTTGGTGAAGTGAAAAGATCACAAACAAGCCACACTATAAAAATTACCACATTCAAAACATGAAGGTGAATTTAAGGTTGCAGAAGCACACTGTGTCCAAGGGTTGAGTGACTATTTCCTCTCAAAAACACTGAAAGGTTCTTTGTTTTGTTTGTTAGAATCTCAGGAAAGTCAGATTAAAGATTGAATGTATGTGCAATTTAAACCTTTGATAATCTGAATATTCACAATTAAGGTAATCAAATTGCCTGAACTTTGACCCCATAAAGACACCAGCCTCCCATCTCTTTTGTTTGTATGCAGATTATGAAATATTCACCAGAGATGCTTCAGTTCTTTGTTTCCTATGTTTTGTTTCCTTTCTAGTGCTGGTGAGTTCAGTGTGGCGTTTGGATGGTAACTGACCTGCTATATAAACTGCTGATTCCTTTTCTTGATTGAGAACGGTGTTCCTGATGCAACAGGACAAGTTTTGGTTTGAATGTTCTTTTACAATGAGAGCAGTTTCTGTTTCAAACAGGCCATTATCCCTTTGGGATATTACTTCAGAGAGTGATGGTAAACGCCGCCCACTGAGATCTCTCCATAGCACTTTGGGCTCTGGGTACCAACCAGCTGATCGACAAACCACCTGGATCCCTCCATCCTGGTGACCCTCAACAGAGATGAGAGGAGCAGAGCCCAGACCTAAGGGGAAATACATAAAGGTGTTAATTCCATGAAATCATTTCTAAAGCATAAGGGATGAGGGACAGTTTGTGGATCCCTTACTCACACCAGAAAGCACTTATTCATGTGGGTTATCAGTAGACGGTATAACTGATTCTGGAATTTCTGAAATCCCAATGCTCATGGACACACAAAAATGTGAACAAATATTTAAAATAGTGTCATTGAGTCAGTGGGAAATATTGTTGTCTCAACACAGGAGCAACTGAGTGCTGAGCACCTCTGGAGATATGACCACTTCATTTAGATCAGTGGTTTTAACCTGTATGTCTAAGGGGTCCACAAAAGGCTGTCATTACCATAGACCAGTGGTTTTCAACCTGTGATCCGTGGATCCCTGGGGGTCCACAGACTATGTCTAATATTTCCAAAGGGGTCTGCACCTCCAATTGAAATGTTTAGGGGTCTGCAAATGAAAAAAGGTTGAAAACCACTGCTTTAGATACTTAAATGGGAACTGAACTCTTTGAAAATCTGGTCTTTAATGCATTGGATGGATATACATGTGCATTTTTTAAAAGTCTAACTTGTTTGCTGGTTACAGTGTCAAAGCAGCATGGGACAAATGCACTCCCTTATCTAAGAGTTATCTAAATACATAACTTTCCCACTACCACCATTATACAGTCTCAGCTAATAAGAAGGCTTCATTTGAATTTAACTACACCCCTAAGTAACGATTAACACTGAACCAATAAAAAAGCCATAAAAGACTGGCAGTCCCACTGTAGCCACACATTCTATGCAGAGCCACTGGAAGGCCACACATGTCCAGAAGTCCTTTCCCTCCTAACCAAGGACCCCTTTTTGAGTCAATCAAGAATTTCTTTTGGGCAAGAAAGTACCTTGACCATCCTGAAAATGTTTTTAATCAATGTTGGGAAAGTTTTCAGCGTATTTTCCCCAGTATGAAAGTGGCTGTTTGCTGAAATTTAGATACACAGGGTTATTGTAAAATAATTTGCAAGCAGGGAGTCACAGTTACTGTAATAGGAAAGAACAAAGCCACTGGAACACACAAAGATAAAACTGACACAAGCCACTGACCTGCTACTCTCAGTTCCAACACGGTTTCTTTATAAAAAGTATCCTCTTCAACAAAGCAGTGGTATTGTCCTTCATCAGAGCGTCTGATATTGAGAATCCTCAAGGGAATGTTTCCATTTGTGAGTCCGGCTTTCAAAAGCTCTGTCCTTCCCCGATACTCTGGCATCTGCCCTTCATACTGATCCTTCCCATTACGGTACAGGTGCACAATGGATAAAAACTGAGATCGGAACCATCTCACCTCCATGTTTGCAGCACTCATCGGCGGGGACAGGTGACAGGGTAACACAGCTTCCTGACCCACGATGGCAGTGATAGGGTCCTGGTGTCCAATCACTGTGAATTTTGCTGGAAAATACACCAGGACAACAAGAACAAAAGCAGCTCAGAGGAGAGTGGGAATTTGATATGAAGGACACATCCAACAGGTTCCATTTTATACACACTTTCCAAAAAGTTCAGCCAGAAGCAGACACCCAGAATGGAAAATTTCAGCCTGAATGTTTAAGAGAGAGCAGCGCTCATAGGCAGCAGGACTGGGGCTCTGTTATAAGAACACTCAGCCTCAGTGTATGGCACAGGCACACAGCACTGAGCTGGGGCGTGGAGCTGATGACAGGCAAGCTTGGTGCATGGCCCAGGCACAGAGCACTGGACAGAGAAGGGAGCTGAGAATTGGTAGATGCAATGCATAGCACAGGCACGCAGTGCTGACATGGGTTGGGAAGCTGAAGACGGGTGTGTTCAGTCCCTGGCAAAGTCACACATCAGAGAAACTGAGGCAGAGACCTGGGAATGGACGTGCTCGATATATAGTTGAGACAAGCTTACTATTCAACAGCCCATTTTTCTAAGTGCTCTCAAATTGACACGCTTACTGACATTGCCATGAAAATTGCTGGGCCTCACCAGGAATAAGGGTAGGGTTAGTGGGCCATATTTGGTGTTCTTTCACCAAGGTGTTCCTGAGACATAGCCATATTGTTATAGTCAATTGTTGGACAATTATGGTTTAATATGTCTTATGATCAAGAGACCAAATAACCAAACTTAGCCAGAATTATTGGCTAAAGACAAAACAGTACACTATGAAAAGGAGACATCCGTACCCTCCTCCTGGGAAGCAATTCTTATCTTGCAGCGTGCACGCATTATACAGAAGGTGTATCTCAAAAATACACCCCCCAAAGCACTTATGTTTATACCATAGCTATTCACAAGTGAGAAAACACTTTATACATCACCTAAGCTCCAACCCACCAGTTTCTTAACTTGTTGTTCTGTACCTTCCTTACCCCTGTTTTGGATACCACATTCCAAACCAGGTGGGTGTAGAGGTACATCCCAACCAGTGCTAGGACACACCTTTCATGGCTTTGACAGACTTCCTATTTTCTATTGTGAACAATAACTTCAGATTTGTAAAGTGTTGTGGGATATTAGTTATTGGTGAACAGAATTGTGGGAGGATCATAATACATTTAGTTAACTTAACTTCCCAACTCTCTCTCTCTCTCTAATGTATATTATAGGACTACCATCAGGGCCGGCTTCTAAGCACCAGCGTTCCAAGCATGTGCTTGGGGTGGCACTTTTCAAGGGGTGGCATTTTGGCCCTTTGGGGTCAGCACTTTTCAAGGGGCAGCACTCCGGGTTTTTTTTTTTTGCTTGGGGCAGCAAAAAACCTGGAGCCGGCCCTGACTACCATGCACATAATGCCTAATAATAGGGTGTATACTACACCTAATATATATGTATTAGCTAACAGGCCCAATTAAAAAAGCCACATGACATCAATATGTTCTGGTTCTTATGTTTTTGTGCACATTAGCCTTAAACTATGGCTCTGATCTTTTTTACATCTGAAACCCACTACGTTACTTGATTTTATTATTTATTATTGTTATTATTAAGCTCTTCAATAAGTGTCTTCCCTATGCTTTGGGCATCTTTGACAATCTTTTAAAAATAGTTGTGTGAAGAAACAGACCTGTGGACTATCCCAGGAGCAAATAAAATAACCCAGTAGCAACAGAATCAGAGCAAAAATTGAATAATGAATGTGCTGATCTTGCTGTGTGGTTAAGTTTACACACTGTGAGTAGTTCCAGTGACTTTATGTCAAGCATGTTGTTACGACACTTCAGGGGCCTAAATAAATCCTCTAAGAAACAGCAGACACAGGGCGGATTCCTACCTGATTCCATCTTGTGACCATACAAAGTAAGGAAGAAAACAATAAAACCAGGGAGAGGGGAGCTGGCTCTGGAGCTGTGGCAGAATGAGAGAATCTTCATCTTCATTGTTAGTTGATCTAGACAATGGGAAGAAGGATGAAAAAACTTATCATAGTGAGTATAACACTGATTAATCCTAAATCATTAAAGTCAAACATTAAAGATACATAAATAAAAAAGGAACAAATGCATTGTTAAGTGAACTCTTTCATATTACAGAGTTAGAACAGCCATACAATTACAGTTCAAAATGTGTTTTATTTATAAGTCTGATCTTGTCCCATCGCTACAAAATCCACATTTTAAAAAAGTCAGATGAGTGTAAAAGTTGGTACTGATTCCATCAGTGGAGAAAAAAGTTTTAAGGAATGAGAAACAGAGTGTGTGTGTGTGTGTGTGTGTGTGTGTGTGTGTGTGTGTGTGTGTGTGTGTGTGTGTGTGTGTGTG